AAGTTGACAAGGGGTGGACTGTGATAGTTGGAGCTGTGTGTCAACTTGGCTGGACCCCAGTTCTGTGTGGTTGTTCCCATGATGGGATCAGATGACTATGTTCTGAGTGGCCAATCTGTCAAGGGGAGTTTCCCTAGGGGTGTGGACTGCTTCCAGGATATCCTGGAAGATCCTGGGAAGAGAGATATTCGTCTGTGGATCGGGATTCTGTTGTGTGGCCTGAACAACAGAAGTGAGTGATCAGTCCACCATTCAGCCTGGAGATCTTGGATTCATCGTTCGTTGGAGTCAACAGCCGGTGTACTGCCCACCAGCCTTGAGCTTCTCTGCCCCCTGTGGGGAAAGGCCTCCAACCTGACATTTCCTCCGGGGACTTTGGACTTGCTGGTTTCTATACATTTGTGAGCCATTTTCCTAAGATAAATTTCTCTCTCTCTTTATGTATATATAAGTTTTGCTGGTTTTTGTTTCTCTAGAGAACCCAGTCTAACACACCCATCTAGTAAAATGGGGATAATAACAGGATAAGTCTCATAAGATTATTTGAGAGTTAAATAATACATGTGAAGTACATGCAAGCACAATAAACATTAGCTGTGATTATGTTTACTACCACCTATATCATATAGTGGGAGCTCTTGTAGCATAGTGCCTAAGGCACTTGACTGCTAACAAGAATCCTGGCGGTTCAAACCTACCAGCCACTCCTAGGAAGGAAGGTTGGGCAATCTACTTCTGTAGTGATACCGCCTTGGAAACCCAAGGAGGGCGCACTATGAGTCAGGTCCGACTCCACGGCACATAAAAACAACAACAACATATCATATAGTGGACTCTGCTTTAGGATATCCTGGTGGGAGTATGACATTGAGAGTGGAATGGGTCTTCTAGGTAACCTGGAGAGAGCCTGATGGACAAAAGGGTGCAATTTTGTTTTGTGTTTTTGCTAATTATATTCTCTATTGTGTGCAGCTGCCTCCTTCTCTTTCTGGTGCTCAGAACTAGAGCTTTGCAGATGCTTCTAGCAGGTGCTGGGAGTGGCTCCTGTTGGGTTTTAAAGAAAAAAAAAAAAAAAAAAAAAAACGGAAGAACAAGCCTCAGCTAGGCCTTGGAGGGCCCTTGAGAGGTAAGAGTCTTCCCAAAATGACCCTGCCTAGGATTTTTATGTGTTCAAGCATAGCAGAGATGGGTGTGGTCTTCTTGTCCTAATGGCCTTTCTAGCCTGCCCCTGGCCCTGGATCAAGGTAAGTCCCATACTGAGGGACTTTTGTATGGAAACCAGCACTGCCTTGACACTGTTCTTTCTTCTCTCTGCTTCCTGGGGAGCTGGATCCACAAAGCCCTATAGGGCAAGGACTGGAGGGGGAGTGGTGAACAAGGAGTCCTTGCTTGATCTTGGGGCCCTGGGCTCCCCCAGATACCTGGGATCTCTTCATTTGTGCCTTAATAAAAAAACATTTATTGTGGCTCCTGGGGTCAGACCCTGGACTGGGCACTAGTGTGAAAGACAGAACCAGACTCTACCCTTAGAGAGCCAGGGCCCAGCCAGGGAGATGAACATGTAGGCAGGTTAGGGTGGTGACATCACCTAAATCTAGAGGCAGACCCCAAGTCCTGTCCCCTCAGAATGCACAGGGAATCAAAGCAGTCCTCCTAGTCTCCATGTGCAGTTCCAGTTCTAGACATGCAGCCGGGGCAACCGAGCCCGCCCTTAGGGAAAGCATCTTTTATGGGAAACCGGGTCAGCCCGGCCCCTCTGGCCCTCCCCCACATCTCTGTCTCCTTGGCTCTGCCCATGGCCACGTTCAAGAGGGGCTTGGAACGGATAGACCCTCTTTCTCCAAGCTAAAGCAAGGGCAGACTGGTAGCCCAGGCACAGGAGAGGGAGAATGTGTCCCTTACCAGGGCAGTATAAACTCTCAGCATCAGTCACTGATGGAGCCGCTCCGGTTCACTGTTTCAAGGCACCCTCAGTCTAGACCCTCCATTCCAGACAATCGTACATCCAGTCCTCAGAGGACCCAGACCACGTGCGACAGCCCCCACCCCTTCTCTCTCTCCCACCCTAGTGTCCATGTCAGCCTGGGACACTCTGGGAAGTTCCACCAGGCAGGACTGGACTGTTTAAGATGTTGAGTAATGTAGTGTAAGGAGGGGGTCTTGTTTCTCGTGGCCATGGCGCATGTGCCTCCAGTCTGTCACCTGAGTGGACTGGGGGCTCTCATTGCGGTCTAGGGCGAGGTGGGCTCTCAGAGGGGAGAGGATAGGTTCGTCGTCCGCAGCTCTCCAGGGTTGTGTGGGAGAAACCCCTCAAGATGCAAAGGTGCCCAGGCACGGGCTCAGGCCGCCCGCGGGGCCTGTGTGCGCGGCTCTGGGAGCGCGCGCGTGCGGGAGGCGACGGCGCCTCCCGCGTAGGTGTGAGGCGCGCTCCTCGCGGGGAACGAGCTAGCAGATCTGGCGCGCGCCCGCTGCCCTCCCGGCGCAGCCCCAGCCCGGCCCCCGCCCGGCGCCAAGAACCGAGGTGTCGTCGCGCCCGCGCTCGTGCCGCTGCCGCTGTGCCCGCGAGCGGAGCAGGAGCAGGAGTCGCTGACGCCCGAGCTCAGCCGGAGCGCACGCCTAGCCGTCCGCCGCCGCCATGGCCACCACGGTGACCTGCACTCGCTTCACCGACGAATACCAGCTATACGAGGATATTGGCAAGTAAGAGCCACGGCGAGCGTGGGTGCGGGGCCCCAGGAAGCGGAGGGGCTTGGGCCGAGAACCAAAGCTGGGCGCTGGCAAAGCCGGGGCAGCCTTTTGCCGGTGGGCTCCAGGCGCACTGCGGTCTGATTCCGTGGCCCGGCAGGTTCCCACTGCGCTTGGCCCTTCTTAGCTCTGCCCAGAGCGGCGGCGCGGCCCGGGTTTCGGGCTCCGGGCTCCGGGCTCCGAGCTCCGAGCGTTGTGTGGCGGGGGCGGCAGCAGGTGTCTGCGAGCGCCCGGCAGACGTGACGCATTTGGCGGCAGGGAGGTCAGAGAGGAAGGCTGGGCGGGGGCGGCCGCGGGAGCTGGAGCCCCGCTGAGGGCTCTTCTGGCCCTCGAGGGGCAACCCTGGCGAGCTAGGGGTCGCAGCCGTATGGCACCGGCGCCAGAACCAGCGTTCTGCCACCTTGCCCGCAGCAGCGCAGCGAGCAGCGGGATGGCGGCGAACCCCTTCACACCCACGCTGCCCGCTGCCTTCTCCGCACGTCCCCATCCAGAGCTGTGAGTGCTCGCGGACTCTAGGCAGGTTTGGGCCCGAAGGCGACAGGTAGACGTGGCCAGCGTGGGAGCAGCCTCTACCATGAGTCCCCTGGGGTATCTGGGTTCTGGAGTATTTTTCCCCAGATCCTTCTGGAAAGAGAAGTCTAGAGAGCTGAGGTCAGGAGCCTGGATCAGGTCACTGGGGAAGGGGTCGGAATTAAAGAGGAGACAAGGAGTCTGGCTGGGCTCCTGATTTTCAGGGCCAAGGAGGTAGGCAGGAGGCCTGTGTTTGGAGAGTTATTTGTGTATGGGGAGGGGCTCTGGAAGCCTTGGCCACCTGGCAGAGGATGCGGTGGCTCATGGATTTTGCCTAAGAGCATTGGCAATGTGGGCATTTGGGTTGGGATCCCGAGACAGGCTTTGCCAGGGAGGTCAGAGATAGGAGAGCGGGAAGCCTTGTGGAGAAGGCACTAGAGGGGATGCCCTACCAAGCCTCCTCTCTGGCCTGAGGTTCTCTCCTGATCAAGATGGTTGCATGGCTTCTCTCAGGGTGGTGTGGCTTCACAGGTCCCCTAATACCCCATGCTCCAAGCTGCCATTGTTGGAGCTTCATGGTTTTTGCCATGGTGGGAGTGCTGGCAAGATTTTATCTTATAAATCCAGTAGCCGATGCTTTTTTTTTTTTTTTTTTTTCCCTTTCTAAAAAAAAAAGTATAGTGAAAACTTGTGATGAGCAAAGGGCCTGATCATTGACAGTTGTGGAGTGCTGGGAGCCTGTAGGTGTGTGGGAGTGTTTTTACCACACATATATATTCCCTTACACCTGCTGGAGAGGATTTGGAGTCAAGACTTTGGGAGGCAAGGAGCACAGTGCTGCGTGGAGGAGGCTCTCATGTGTGGGTGTCAAGGCTGGCCTGGTGTGGAGCAGCTGGGTTTGTCCCAGATTTGGTGAGCCTGGAGAAAAGAGGCACAAGGGAAAGAGGTGCACTCGCCCCCACTCCCACCCCAAACACCTACTGAGTGATGGCAGGGAGCCTCCCAGGGCACCTCCTGAAAGGACTAGGGACAGGCCATGGGGAAGCTTCTAGGAGCTACTGGGTCTGGAGGCCTGTGAGGAAGGAGGTGCTGGGTCAGGCTGAGGTCTTCAGGTGGAAAGGTGGCCAGGGTGCGTCCCTATGGCTGGCCAGGCTTTGCTCCCACCACTCTCAGCTGGCTGACTCGGATTCAGTTGAGTGAGTTTGCCTCACTTTGTGAAGGAGAAGCTGTCCCTTTTTTTCTCCAGCATGTGTCTAGGCCACTGTGGGGCAGGGCAGCAGGGGCTCCTGAGGGGCCTGATTCTCTGAGGAAGGTGGCAGTGGCAGTAAGAGGAAGGCCACTTCTCTTCTGGGACATCTCTTTAGTAGTTTTATCTGCTGCGTCCAAGACTGTGCAGGCATCCTTGATCTCCTTTCCAGACGCACCCTGGATACCTGCCCTACATGCCTGCCTGTTCCTTTAGCTGCTGCTGGATGCTGGCCCTTCTTGGCTTTGGGTGAACTCCTCTGGGTTCAGCAGCAGCATCAGGCAGCTGGCCTCTCTGAACCTCTAGTTCCAGAAGCCACTGGTTCTCATCACTGGCTGCTGCTCATGTAGGTAATAGAGGTCTTGGGACCCCCATATGGAGTCTGAGAGGTGTAAAAGACCCTTGGTGGAGCCTTTGGAGGTAAGGGCTGAAGCTGTCAGGCTCCTTCTCCTGGTACACAAGGAAAGAAGCAGCAGCAAAAAGAGGCCAGTGTGGCCAGCCCTGTGCTAAGACTCCAGGAAAGCAAAGATGTGTGAACATGAGCATATGAGGGAGAGAAAGAGGGAAGGGAAAGGAGTACCACTTCATAGAGTTGATCCTCCTAGGATTTCATCTTAGTCCTACTGTATGCTAGACCCAGTGAGGAGGCTGAGGATTGTGGTCCACAGCCCTGGGTTGGAGTGGGGAGGGGTGTCTTGGGGTAGAACGGAAGCCAGACTGCAGTTGTGGGCACTATGGACAGAGCAGGGAGCTGGGAGGGAGGGTCAGGCCTTGGGGCAGAGGTCTTTGGCCAGGGTCAGCTGTGGGGCCCCTGGTGACCATGGTGGCCAGTTGTTGACAGAGCTCTCAGTGCACAGTTGGTGTTACTTCCCAGCCCAAGTTTATTTAAAGCTGCAGCCTCTGGCACACAATCAGATGACACTAACTCCCTGTTCTGGAGACTGGGCTCCAGGCTACCTCCCTTGCCCTAACACCCTGGCTGCTATCTTTGCTCAAAATCTTCTAGCCAGGTGGCCTGGGCAGCCAGGCTAGGCTTGCCAAGAGGAGCCCACCTGTCTCTGGCTCTGTACAGGCACAGCCCACCTCAGCCTCCGGCAGGACCAGCCCTGCCTTGTCCAGTGGGCACAGCAGCTGGCAGTGGTATGACTGGTGGATACCCCATGGGCACTAGGGCTGGGAGCAAGCAGGGGCAGGCAGGGACCATGCAGGAGAAGCCCCCAGCCACCTGTCCGACTGGCCTGGGATGTCAACTTTTTTATGTTGGACAGATACTTAAAATCCAGAAAAATACCAGGAATAATAAATTGAACATCCAGAGTTGAAAACTGTTATATTTTGTCATTTTGATCTTAAGACCTTATTATTATTATTGTAGGAAGTAAACATTATGCATAATATTAAGTAACCATTCTCTTCGAACTCCTGTTTTGCATTTGGTGTTTATTCTTTCAGGCACTTTTTGGTACATTTAAACACATATATAAGTACCCACTGGAGCTCTGGAGTTGCAGTAGTTAAAGCATTTGTCTGCTAACCAAAAGGTCAGTAGTTCAAACCTACCCGCTGCTCCATGGGAGAAGGATGAAGCATTTGCTTCCGTGAAGATTTACAGCCTTGGAAACTTTATGGGTAGTTAATTCTACTCTGTCCTATTGGGTTGCTGTGGGTGACGATTCAACAGCAGTGGACTTTTTGTATGTATAAGTACCCATACCTAATGGTTAGCATTATTTGGTCAATTTTTTAACTTTACATAAAAACCTGAAACTTGTTTTTTTCACTTAAGATAGTGTAATTGACCTCTGAGTGTTGATATAATTTGATCCGTAGCTACCTGGTATCAATCATAGTATGAATCTGTTGCATTTTATTCTGTGTTGTTGTTGTGTTGTTATGTGCCGTCGAGTTGGACCCAACTCATAGCGACCCCTTTTGGGGCTGCTGAGGTAGTATCACTACGGAAGTAGATTGCCCAGCCTTTCTTCCGGGGAGTGGCTGGTGGGTTTGAACCGCCAGCCTTCTGGTTAGCAGTCAAGTGTAGCCCCCTCTTAAGGGAAATCCGGGTTGTTCCCAGCTCTTTGCTGTCATAAACTGTGTTGTCACAACTATCCTGCATCTTTCCTGGAGCATGAATGTGGGTCTTCCTGTTGGGTTTATACTCAGCAGTGGGATTGTTAGTTGTGAGTCTACAGCCCTATCCCACAGGCTCTTTCCCTGAAACCCACTGACACTTGAAAATGACATGTTTTACATTTTTGACAATTTATAAGGTAGAAAGAGGTCTTTCATTTTATATTTATGATCCTGGGTCTCTCTCTTTTGGGTAATCATTGTCTCTTTTAAAATATGGATGATATCCCTAAAAGAAAGCAGTATCTACAAGTTTTGGATATAATTTCAAGAGGTCATAGCCCTCTCAATCAGTCATATCCAGGGACTCCAGGCAAAGAACTCAGGTCAGGGGAAGAATCCTCACAACTACAACCCATCCTTTGGGTAAAGATGACACTGGAGATTGTGGCTCATAGTGTGGTAACATCTAACTTGTACATCATTTTAATTGACCTCTGAGTGATTTTATTTTGTTTTACTGTATTTTTTCACTCCTTGTCCCCTGTCCTCCTCCCCTCCACCCTGGCCCCTGATATTTCACATAAGTGGAATCATAAAATATTTATCCTTTTGTGCCTGGCATATTTCACTCAATATAATGTTTTCAGGGTTCATTCATGTTGTAGCATATATTAGAATTTATTTCTCTTTATGGCTCCATTGTTTGTATCTACCACATTTTGTTTAAACATATGATTTTATTTGATTCTCTCAAAAATGCCATCAGTTGTCCAGAAAGACCCTTACCTACCATTTTACAGATGAAGAACTGAGGCTCAGGGAGGTTCAGAACTCCTTCTGCCCAGGTAGGAAGGAAGCTTGTAGCTGAGGTTTCCCCAGACTCCTGATCTCTGGGTCAGGGTATTTCCATCCCCAGCTTCCCAGACCTCACCTAGCCTGGAACTGACCTTGATACACCCTTGACTTCATCCAATGATACCACAATTGACAGAACCAAACCACTTTACTGGGAGCCCCCACTCACATCTCTCAACTGAGAAGAGAGCAGGGCGTGTCCAGGAGTGTTGTGGGAGGGTATTCCTACTATCCATTGGGTAGATTTCATCAGCCATTGAATGCTTCCCTG